TTGACTATGTGAAATTGGTGAGGTTTTCACAGTAAACACATTGTTGTCATGTCTTGCCAACATACAGTAAACACAGTGTTAACACATAACTGACTATGTGTCATTGGTGGAGTTTACACAAAACTGTTTGTTCTACAGAGATTCAGTGTCACCATGCAGTAAAATCATCACATGCACAATCTCAAAGTTCTCATCACCTTCATCCTGCAAGGTACAACAAAAATAAAATATTAACAGTTTTAAAATTGATAAAATAAATATTTATTAAACTAACTTTTAAGTACACATGTAAGCACTATCATAAGATTATTGCATAATAGTCAGACGAATTATGTATGTGTTATAATATTTTTAAGTTAAAAACATACATTAGTCAAATGTATACAGTATGTATGTTCACACTAAAAGTATTGTTTTGCTTAAAATTAGTCAAGGGTTTTAATAGTTGTTAAGTTAATGTAGCAATGAGTTTACAATTTTTAAATTGTTTTTATTGCATATAGACGAACAGTTACTTAGATGGTAAAGCATGCTGCAGCTCATCTGTAGGATATGAAATAAACTTTTTAAAAAATTAAATTACAACACTTTGCTAAGTTACCTTTAGCAAAGATAATTACAATTACAATTTAAAATTAAAAAATTACTGCACATTAAGCGCCTGTTGTTAAACATTAGCTGCTGTATCCATTCCCTTTGACATGGAGCGCCTTGTATCTTTACATATTTTAGTCTTCTTGGATTTTACAGCTGCTGACTAGATATCTGGGTATTCTGAAATTATATAAAAATATATTGTCACAAAACTTCGGAAATATGAAAAGTAGGCCTATCTATCTAATTGAGAATTACATTGTTCTTATAAATTTCTAGGTTCGAGTAGAACTGTATATGCAGTAACAATTTTAAAATTGACATGTTCGAAAGACAATTAGATTCATAAATTGTGAACTTTAATTGCTAAACCCGAGTACACCATGAGACTCATGTCATCATGACAACACAAACTTGAGTAATGACATGTAATAGCAAGTATCACGCAACATAATGCTACAATAACAGTGGCCTGCAAGCTTCATTATTTTAATGGTGTTAATGTGGGACTGTAGCTTTCATTATTGCTGACAATACCATATTCTAATGTTTAATGTGTAGATATGAAACACTAATTTACTTACTGTAATTGAATCGTGGAGCAATGAGGTATACATAAACCTTTTAACGGTCTTGGGACAAATGTCAAATTTTGTTTACAACTGTTGAATAGTACATTGCTTGTATTTTTAGTAATTCAACATGGTAATATTAAGTCATTCTAAAATCAACGATCGTAAAGCAGACAATTTACTATAATGCAATATACTTACTGTAATATATTTGCTGTTGTCTTAAATGAAAACACAATAAATAAATAGAAAATTAACTTAAGTTACCAAATGTTGCAGATACTGTATATGTTTTGTTTGTCATTGCAGCACATACCAGTCTACTTGCATGTTGGCTTTTTTTAAGCTCTGCATAATAGTCCTTTCAGACAAATTGTATCTAGTGCAACCTGAAAATAAAGAAAGTTCTTAAATTAGTAAACGAATGTTCTTTATACCTAGTCTTTTAAATACAATGTATTTTGGCAGCCAAAAATACATGGTAACTGATTTTTATTATATACATTTTTGAATTCTTATTTAAATCAAACAGAGTATTTTAAAACAAACCCTAATTTGCAAGTAGATTTATTATATTCATAGTTTATAAACTAAACAAATAAAACTAACAAGGAAGAAAATAAATCACACGAAAATCAAGCTTGCCTGATGTCGAGTAATTTCGACCCAGGCCAGACTTTTTACGCTAAAAATGCAATTCATATAGCAAGGCATACATAGAATGTACAGTGCTAGATAATGTTTAGTAGGCATTTATGCTATATTACTAGGGATAGGCTATTAGTACTGTTTTAGGAAGGCTAATCGAGCGTAAAACAACTTTAATTGTTGGTGCAAATAATATATTTCAATTCTTACCAAATAAAGATAACATTTTATGTTTTGTTTTTATACATTTAGACCTAGGCCTATGTTACATACCAAAAGATTGAATCAAAAAAATTATTAATTATAAATAAATAAAAACGAATTAAAAAGCGTAATTGCCCCGTCATAATCATTAATTCCAGAATCGAGTTAACGGCCGTTTCAACCGTTCAATTTAGGAGGTCAAGCCTAGGCCTAGGTCAAACGGTTGTAGCCTAGGCTAATGCCTCCTAGCCCGAGTTTATTTTTCTGTTTATTTAAGTAGTGGGTAAGTTATGGATTGGAACACTATTGATTGTTAGTACCAGCAGAAGGCCTATGGACAACCTAGCTAAAATGAATATATTCAAATAAATAATAAGAAAAATGCAATTTCTAATTACCTATATAGGCCTAAATAGTAACGACAACACTTGAATACAATACGCCATTCAGCCATTTTTTCTTGGAGGGTTCTTGTTAACTTTGGGTCTCCATATTCTCCATCTCAATCCTTCGGTTGTCCTCGAACATTATTTTATGTGGAACCATTGAATCGTCCAGGACACTTGTCTCATTTGTCTCCGTCCAGTGGAGTAGAACCCATGCACATTTTTGTTTTGCGAAATTAATTTAACGAATCCAATTTAACACAACGCTTGCTGTAATCGACGATGAAACAATGAATCCCCGCTTGAATCTGAAATATGATCTTCCCTCTTCCTCACACCATCCTGGTGTAACTAATGATCGGGCCAGACGAGCTGCATGTGACCTGATTTTCCAACGTCTCCACCATGACCCCCTGGGGTTTCACAAACCATAGTGGCAAGACTGTGATCACTATGTGGTGATAATACGATTTTATCCTAGTGATACCAGGGAGTGTACAACTGTAAAACTTTTTTTTACATCTTCCTGTTAATACCCTGATAAACTGCGAGGTAACTATAATATAGGCCTATATAATATAAATATTACTATATTATATAACTATATATACATATATAGAGTAGGCATCAATGTGATTGCGAGCACGTATGTTCCTAGTAACTTAAATAATAATAGAGATATTGATAAAATGAAATGAAACGGTTGACGTATTGGAGGAACATAAGTATTTTATTGCACTCGAATATTTCGTCCTGTCCTCAGGACTTTCTCAACGTGAATGAACAAAAACATTACAAAGTAGATAAATCATGAGCTATGGAATAACAGTAAATAACAATGAAATAACAATAAGACAATGCTGGGCGTAATTAGTTATTCGTGAAAGTATAGCCACTAGCAAAGCCTAGATC